ACATAACCTTGCCTCTTGATAGGTGAGTGGCAAAGTTCTGGAAGAGCATGCGGGATGGGAAATATTGTTGTAGTCATTTTTGAAAAACGTAACTTGCCACGTTAGGTATGACATTTTATTATATTCTTTTAAATATGACAAGCGCCCTTCCCTCTGTAAGTTACAAACAGAAAGTAAAACTAAAGAAGTATCTTGATTTCTTTTAGGGAAAAATCAGTCAACTAGTTTGAAAGTCACTAGTGAAAAACTGGAGAAATATTAACACGAAACAATGAGGTTAAAATAGAGACCTAACTCTATTTGGTCAATAATTGACAGGATATTCTAGTATGGGAAAGACTGGTATCATCAAAACATTGCATTCCAGACTACAATGGCAATGAATGGGAAACCTGATTTGCTAATTCTGCAAGCTGGACTATTGCTAGGTGAATTTGATTAGGCAATGTCTGTTATATTTTCTTCTTATGTAATCAAAAACCATGAATCTGAGATAAAAAATGGGACTTTCTTCCCCCAAGAATGCATTTTTAACATCTTGAATTCTCTTGAAGAGCATTAGCAAAAAGATACTGTCAAATAAAGAATTCAAGCAAATGAGACAGAAGAAATAAAAGAAAAAAACTTAAAACTATGGGAAGTAGAAATTTAAAAATCCATAAACAAGAAAAATACTTCTGGTACAAAAGAGGAAGAAAAGGGCATAGTAGGAAATACAAGATTTCTTTAGTATATACCAAATTCCAAGGGTCATGCGTGTCATCACATTTCTCTCTGGTATTTTTATTTCCAGCCACAAGTACCATCAGGCACTTCTCACCGTGCCCAGCATGCACCTTCCTCATCCTCTTTGTTTGGTGGCTCCTGGGTCCTCCCTTTATCTATACGGAGAACCAACTCAAAGAATTCTGCTCAACTCTCATTACTTGGTTGGCACCCCAGGACTGTGAGCGGTTTAATGGAAAGATGGCTAGTTAAAGATTGTAAAGTTTATTTAATGGCAAAGAATACGGGGAACTCAGAGAATGTGCCATAATGCAGAATATAACAGCAAGCTCCCAGACAGTTACAGTGTCCCAGATCCCCAGAGTTCTCTAATGGGAGGTGGCACTGTGGATGATACCAGGTGTGGAGAGTGAATGCATCAGCATGAGAACCCCTGGGCCATTCTCATGGATAGCTCAAAAAACTTTTTTTGAAGTATGATAGACACAAACACAAATGCACATATCATATGTTTTGAGCTGGATACTTTTTCTTTTCTTTTTTTTTTTTTTGCTGAGGAAGATTCACCCTGAGCTAACATCTGTTGCCAATCTTCCTATTTTTGCTGGAGGAAGATTAACCCTGAGCCAACATCTGTGCCAATCTTCCTCTATTTTGTATGTGGGTTGCTGACACAGCATGGCCGTTGACAAGTGGTGCAGGTCCACGCCCAGAAACCAAACCCAGGCCACTGAAGCAGAGCATGCCAAACTTAACCCCTAGGCCACAGGGCCAGCCCCAAGCATGACACATTTTTGCAAACTGAACACCTTAAGGGAGTTTTTATATCTTGTACTCTGTCCTGCCCAACTGTTCTGAAAACTCTGGCCTTGGGTTTGCCTGCAGAGCTGAACAACCCAAATATGTTGGTATTTACTGTGAAACTGGGTGTTTCCCAAGCTCATCCCTCAGCTGGCCCATGCTGCAAGCCTATTCAGGACCCACTCCTACCCATCTGTTCTAATTACTCCAGTGCCTATCATCTCTCTCTCTCTCCTTTGAGCTCTTGGTTACTCTCGACCATACATTTCAGTAATCAATGGCTCACTAGTCGATTCACACCTATTCTGTTCCCATTTGATTGCATTTTGAGATTGCGTTGTTGCTCACTATTTAATTGAAAACTTAGTTTTCCTTTAAATATATCATTTAAAATCGCTTTCTATAATTCTCAAGTAGTAATATTACTAGGAGCACAATTAGAAATTAATGATAAAACAGGATTATTGACCACAGTTACATAATTGAAGCAAAGAATGCATAAAATATTCAAATCTTCAATATTCCAAGTCAAAGTTCAGCTATTTTGACATTCTGTCTGTCCCGTGAGATAAGATAACCAGTTCACTCATGTGCTCAAAGATCTCTACAAATTCTTACAATGTTTCTCTAGCATATTGGCAAAATATTTTAATTAACATCTCCCAAATTGCCAGCTGGGAGACTGCAGACCTGCTACAATAGGGCTTCCCTCTCTGAAATTGCCTTTCCCTCCAGGACAGGCAAAGCTGACCATACCGGCCTCGAGGTTACCCTGCTAAACTACCAGCATGTGTAGGCAGGAGTTTCTTTTACTTAAAGAATGTTATAACTACTTTTAGTCATCAAATTAGTGAGAATAAAAAAAAAATTACTCAAGTCTGTCAAGGATGTGGAGAGACAGGCACAACCATATGTTGCTGAGAGTATAAACAACACAACTTCTCTGAAATGCAATATGGCAAGATGGATTAAGAATCTTTACACTCATATGCCCAGTAATTCCATTTCTATTTAACAATTTCCTTAGCAAATGTTCCTAAATGTGGGTAAAGATTTATGTACAAAGCCATTTAATCCAGTATTATTTATAATAAGCACAAAAATATTGAAACAACCATCCAACGACAGGGAAAATGTTAAATAAATTATGGTATGTTTCTGGAAATGTGGACCATTAGAAAGAAAAGGTAATTAAGCTACTGAAGAAATTTTAGACATGGAAAATGCTCAGGATACAAGTTTAAGTTTTAAAAGGCAGTTTGCAGGACTTTTTGTAAAATCATTGATATTTATATGAATGAAAGTGAAAGGAAATGTTATCTCTGAGTGAGTTATCTTTGAGTGGTGTGATTATTGGCGATTTTTCTTATTTATATTTTCTATATTTCCTACAGAGAGCTCTATGATTTATACAATCAAAAAGTTGTTTTTAGAAAAATACTGTTCTGGCAGTACTTTGGCACACAGTCAGGTGTTCAAAGCCTCAATCATGATGCACTCGTTAATCAACTTAAAAATCCCAGCGGTATCTCAAATCATGAATTTTGATCTCCCCTTTCCCGTTTCTCTTTTTCATTACAAATCATTTCCAGTAATCTCAATTTCATCTCTAAATCTGAGCATTTTAGATTACTCTTCAAATATATGGCTTTAGTTTCCTCACGTTGATAATTTTGTTTCCTTGTTAAAGAAAACTCTAAAGTCGCATGCATTAAAAGTAAAAGCTAGCTATCTGTGATTTTTGCTGAACATAGTCCTATACTGTGTCATGCACTTAGTTAAGTATTAGCATGGTTAGGAACTTTTTTCTGGACTTTTTAATCTCAAAATGGATTCGCAAGATCACTTTGTCGTCAGTTACACATGGAAACCACGGTCTGTGAGCCTAGGAGATACACTTGGAAAGGCTAGTAGAAATGCACATCGGATTCAGGCGACTCCAGGATATCCACCCGGGCCTGTCCAGTGGACAGCTGGAACCGCAGGACTAAGGCCCAGAGGCAAGCAGCCTGCCCTGGCCCTGGAAACAGAGATTTCGGAAACCTGAGCACAAACGCTACGGCAGAAGACCCCAAGTCGTGGACCGCTGAGGGCAGAGCTAGCCTAAACAAAAAACACCAATCAGAGAAGTCAGAGAAGAGACAGAGGAGAGTAGAGAAAGACCAGAGAGGAAGGAGATTGAAGACCTTTGAGCTGGAATAACCAGAGTTGATACAATGCCCCTTTTAAAACCACATGTCAGGCTCTCACTAGACCTTGGAACCTCGGCTTCCTCAGTTGGGAAAAGTTGCAACTAAAGAGTCTTCTTAAATCTTATCTCATCTTGATCAGCTTCCTCAACTGCGGGAAAACTGCAACTAAAGGTTCTCCTTATGCCTGAACTCATCTAGAGCCTAATCCTTCCCATGAGCGGGCTGCAGGACGCGCATGCGCCGCGGCGCGGGCTGGCCCCCCCCCCCCAGAGGGCGGAGCCTGTTTCTTTCGCTTTGGCGTTTCCACGGGCGCCAGCCCCGCCCGCCGCACCTGCGCGTCCCGTGCGCTGTGCTGCTTGCGAGCCCCGAGGGCGGCTCCCGCCGCGGGGGGTCTGCTGGGTGAAGGGGGGCGCCCCGGGCCAGTTTAGCAGTGGTGGCGGCAGGTGGGGGAGCGCGACGGGGCTTGGCCCGCGGAGCCTGCTCGCTCGGGGCGTCTGAACGCTGTGTTTCTCGGAATCGTTGTAAGCGCGCGAAAGGGACCGGCCAGGGCCTTGACGGGAGCGAGGCCCCCGGGGAGCCGGGCGGGCCTACGCGGGTGGCGTGGAAGCCCAGCTGGGCGCCTCCCGAGCGCGGGTGCTCGCGCCCCGGACGGTCCGCGCCCGCCTGGCCTCCCGAGGCCGCCCTCCTGCCTCTGGTCGCCCAGTCCGCGGAGGGCCGGCCGGCTCTCAGAACTGGGCGAATCCCCGGGCCCTGCGAGCGCGGGCCGAGTCGCGGGCTTGATGTGGGTGGGGGGGAGGGGGGCTCTTGGCACGGTTTGCGTTTGCTCTGGGTTAGACGGATTTGCGTGTGTAGACGCTGGCGAGTGGACCCGGTTTGCCCGGAGACTGAGCGTTTGGTGTGACAGCTGAGGCCTGAGTGGACCACGCCCCGAGGCAGGTAGGGGAGGCTGGAGAGCGCTTTTCAACACAAACTGTTCCGCCGACGCCGTCTCTGCCCTTCCATGTGGGGCTTGTCACTGCAGAGGGAGCCGAGAGCCACAGGGGTGTGGCAGCCAAAGTTTGTTTGGAAAATTACCTGCGTGCACTCGCACAGTTGGGATTTGAGAGATCTCCGGAAAGCATCGTCTGATCTTGTTTTCGGTGCAATGATAACAGGCGATAATCGATCTGGATTTTTCGTGTTTTTTTTCTGTTTGTTTTCTAGACGTTATTGGGGTTTCTGTTTGAAAAAAAGAGGTTGAACTTTTGGAATAAGATACATAGTGGAAAAGGTAGGCTCCATCTCTTTGTGATTATTTCTGTCAGTTAGAACAAAGGATTGTGAATTTTACCATCCAAGGTTATACCTGTCCTTTCAGGGCTTGATTATCGCCTCATTCTATACCAGTTTTCCACTGTCAGATTATTTTTAGTATTAGTAGCTTTATTTTTAATTTTCTGATCATTTCATATTATGCTCATATATAATCTTTAAAGGCCAGAACACAATTGGATTTAGGAAAAAATAAATATCTGTTCAACAAATATTTGTGCACATTAGGTGCCTGACTGTTTTTTACGTATTATGGATACAGAAATGAGAAAGATGGACAAGATCTCAACTCCTTTGGTGCTTACAGTCTAGGAAGGGGAGACAAGCAACAAATACACCAGATGGTGGTAATTGCTACGCTGAGGACTGAAATAGTGTGATGTGCTAGCCTAGAGAGTAGCTTCTTTAGATTGGGGAACCTTCTCTGAGGAGGGACATTGAAACCTGAATGAGGACTAGGATTCCAGGAGCAGAGGGAAGAGCATGTCAGCGTAAGAAAACTGCTTTATGAAGATGGAAGACCAGAATCCGTTTGACCAGGGAGGCTGGAAAGCAGTGAGAGGGAGGGAAAGTGGCAGGAGTTGAGGTCTGAGAAGTGGGCAGGCAATAGCCTCATCACAGAGGGTTTTGTAAGGTGTGGTGAGGAGTTTGCATTTTATCCTAAATTTGTTCTTAAGTGCAGTCTGGCTAAGTCCATTTTTGGCCGCTCTTTCTCTTTGGTTTCCTTGATTTATTGGTTCTTCACCTCAAATGTTTTTATTCTTTTTGTTCTTGATCAAACTAGATGAAAGAACATGACAGGATAGCTTTCAACGCTGCCACTTAAATTTTGGGTGAAACCGTTTGTTCGTTTTTATGAGTGAACCATTCAGTTCTGCATCTTAAAGGCAGAGCAATAGCCTTGGCTCCATCCTATGGAAGGAGCGACCTAGTCAGTATGTTAAAACAGTGAAAAATCTTTTGAGTTGAGATTAGCAGATCTGGAATGAAGCAGTGTTGAGAAGTAGTTAAGGGAAAGGCTTCAGAGGTGAAATAAATACCCAGAGTTTTGGATGTTCAATGTCAAATTAGTTTGAAGTTATTTGACAGATTTTTTTTCCAGGAGTTATGGAACTTTGTTGGTATGGCGGTGGTGACTGGGATCATCATCAGAGGTTAAAGTCTTATAATTGTTTTATTTCTCTCCAAATTATCCTTATCCCAGGTGTAATAGATTGAATGTAGGAGCTTTCATTGAGCAAATTCTTTGATTTTGGCCCTTTTATAAGGATTTGAGTTGCATTTCTTTGATTCCTAGACTGAAGTAACCTTTATCTATTTAAACATTGCAGGATATTTTACTTCAAATAAAGAACATGGTGAAACTAATTCACACGTTAGCCGATCATGATGATGATGTCAACTGCTGTGCGTTCTCCTCTGCCCTCTTGGCTACTTGCTCCTTGGACAAAACAGTTCGCCTGTACTCTCTGAGTGACTTCAGTGAATTGCCACACTCCCCCTTGAAGTTTCACACCTATGCTGTCCACTGCTGCTGTTTCTCCCCTTCAGGACATATTTTAGCTTCATGTTCAACAGATGGTACCACTGTCCTGTGGAATACTCAAAATGGGCAGACTTTGGCGGTGATGGAACAGCCCAGCGGTAGCCCTGTGAGGGTTTGCCAGTTTTCCCCCGACTCCACTTGCTTGGTGTCAGGGGCAGCTGATGGAACGGTTGTTATGTGGAATGCACAGTCATACAAGTTATATAGGTATGAATATTTCAATCCTTCCCATTTTTAATCCTATTAACAGATCTACCAAAAAAATAGCAGAAAGCAGAACGTTTTGATGACTTTAAGAAGCAGGTAATTTTAGACATGACAAGGAAAAATATTTCAACTTCTGAAGGTCATCCAAGCAGATGTTTCATATAATTCTTGTCGATTTGCTTGGCTCTGATTTTTAAATTTCAAATCTTTCTTTTGTAAAATAAAGGTTAATCTTGTTAGACTTTTATGCATTTTTATTGTAAGAGTGAGGCAAAGAAAACAGTCTTTTGAATAAGATTCGTAATTCTGGGCTTTTTGTCACTCGTGGCTCATGTTCTCAGTAATAAAGTAATAGTAGGTAAGTCTCACCTGTTTCCTGATGAGGATTCTTGCTGCGTAAATGACCAAGCCCAGAAAAAAGAACTTTGTGAGTAGTAGCCACCTGAAAAACTCCTTTCGGATAAAAATACAACAGTTAATTTACACTGGTGATGTTTGGTTGCAACTTACCAACATTAACAGAATGTAGTTTTATGTATTTATATGGTAGTGAAATACATGTAACCTACCATTTTCACCATTTTTAAGTGTACAGTTCAGTGACGTTAAGTACATCAAAACCCACAGAGTTGTAAATGTTACCAGTTAAAATAGTCTAATGTACCTTCCTTCCCTTCTTCCTACCCCTCAACATCGTTGGGAGCACAGGTGCCAGCTGGTCAACAACTGTTGCTCATTTACGTTTAGGTCTTTGGGTTGAAGAAAATGATGTGTTTTAAGTGGTGTTAATAGTGTACAGAGAAGGCATGAAGAATGAAATGTCATTCTTTTTATGAATGAAATACAGCTGTCATTAGGGAATCTTCTTTTTCGCTTATCAGGTGATAAATTCTGCATCTATAGGATCACTTCCCTAATGTCTGTAATTAGTGATGTAAAAATGATCCACTCCTGTAGATTTAAGCACTAGATGGAACACTGTTTTGTTTTTTACCAGTTTATCTTTCCTAATTGAGAAAATAGTGTTGTCAGCACAATGCTTCCTTATATTCCCAAGATAACTTTAACTTGTTCACAGCATTTTCTTTTCATAAACGATTTATATTTGAAGATAAGATGAAAGGCCTTACTTTTGCTTCTGGGTGATTTTAACACAAAATTTGAAAGTACTTTTTTCTTTTTAATATATGACTATAGTTGATGTCATTGCTTTTGGTAAGTTTTGTAGATTTTAGTGTGTTCATACTGACTTGCCATTTGGAAAAATATGAAGATATAAGGGCTTTGGATCCCTATAGTTTAGCCTTGAACACATTAAGATAATGTTTAAATCCTCTGTATGAGAAAGCATATCTCAGTTTATAGCCTATAAATGGTATTTTACTTCTAGAGACATCTCCTGCCCTTTCTCTCTAGTTCTGTGGTGACCATTTATCCTCTTTTTACTATATCAAGCTGCTCTTAGAGATTGTAATACAAAGTAAAAGATGCTCTGAAATGAAAACCCCCTTGTTTTGCTTTTATTTCAGATGTGGTAGTGTTAAGGATGGCTCCTTGGTGGCCTGTGCATTTTGTCCTACTGGAACCCTCTTTGTCACTGGCTCCTCGTGTGGAGATTTGACAGTGTGGGATGATAAAATGAGGTGTCTGCATAGTGAAAAAGCACATGATCTTGGAATTACCTGCTGTGATTTTTCTTCACAGCCAATTTCTGGTTAGTTATTTTAGTCTCTTAAGCATTGCTAATTTGTATTTGTAGTTTGGATATGACTTTTAGTTCTTTTGTTCATTTTCATTTCATCCTTAGTGAAAGGAGGAGCCCTTTTAATTCATTTCTTTTAAAGAATCATCCTTCTCCTGTATCTTTTTTGATCAAAATGAAGTCATGAAGAAATACAGGAAAATCAGATTCTTTAGTGTATGTGGGGGATGACTCAACCTGGTAGAATGGATCTGGGCTCCTTGAATATGGTAATTCGGAGGACTTCACTTTATTGGTTGTACTGTGATTTTTCAGGTACAGTATATTGATATTCAAATAGAAATGTGAAATTAAAAAATTAGAAACAGAAGCTACATTTTCCGTTTAGTAATTTAATCTTCCAAAAGCTAAATTTATAAAATAAGATGTTTACCAACACAGTTCATTTTTAGAAAAAGAAGAAACAAAAACTCCATAATACAGGCTCTTGGTTTTAAATGGATACAGTGAAATGGGAAGTTTTCTTCTTGTATTTTCGTCTTCTGTGTTAGGACAGAAGTTCTGCTTTTATCCATCCAGTCTTGTTGCCAGACCAGTGCTGTCTTGAAGCAAGATAATGTGAGCTACATATGTAAATTTAAAATTTTCTGGTAGTAGGCGAAATTGATTTTAATGACATTTCATTTTACTCAATATATCTAAAATATTTCAGTAATTGATAATAGAAATTATAAGATATTTTACGTTTTTTTGGTACTAAGTCTTTGAAATCTGGTGTGTATGTCACATTTCAGTTTGTGCTAACCACAATTCAAGTGTTTATAGCCAGTGTGGCTAGTGACTACCTTATAGGACAACTCAGGTCCACACAGTAGGCAGGATGGTTTTGTCACTCCCCTGTTTCAAACCTGTCAATGGCTTATCAGAATAAGATTAAGGTGAGAATATGAGAATATAAGAATAAGATTAAACCAAATCTAAAACACAAAGCCTGTAAGTACCTTACACATTCTGTTTCCCTGCCTCATCTCTAATCATGGTTGGCCTCGTTCATTCTCTTGCCGCACTGGCCTCCTTTCGTTCCTCGAGTGTTTCTAAGATTTGTCCAAGGATTTTACGTGCGGACCCCTCACCTGGTTCACCCTAAGTCCTTTACCTTTAGATTTCAGGTAAAAAAATCGCTTGAGAGGAGCCTCGCCTGCTCTTACCCCTTGCACTCAGTCTAAACCATTTTGATATAGTCTTTTATTTGCACGCTTTTTCTTTTATAGTACTTAGAGAAGTATCACAATTTTTAATTATATATTTACTTATATGGATTATGTTTAATGGTGTTTTTCCTGTTAGAGTGTAAGCTTGTGAGGACAGGGCCTCGGCCTGTTTTATTCACAGTGCCTGGTGCATGTTAGGCCTTGAAATGGAGATTGATGAGAAAGATTCCTTCTAGCGATTTGCTGAAAGTTTTTGTTTTTGTTTTTTAACCTTCTAACATCATGTAGCAAATTAATAGATTTCTTTTTCATGAACCCATTCTTATGTTAACTTTTCTACCTAATTTAATTATGATAATTTATTCTTTTAATATATTGTTTTTGTGCTGTTTTATTCTAAAAAGACCAGCTTGTAACAGACAAGAACCGTTTCTTCCATTTCTGTGGAACGTTCTCCAAATCTTATAGGCACTCAATGAATCTTTGATGAATTACATAAATGGGGGAAATTTGTTTCTTTTTTAATTCTAAATTATCTGAAAATAGATTTTCAATTAAAATATCATTATTATGTTAATATTAGAGTAAAACTAAGGGCATCCTTGTCCTGTCTTCAAAAGGATCTGCAGGTGGTGGGGCCTGGAAAGGTTCAGTAAACCAAGCAGAGAATTCTCAGTGAGATTCTAAAATAAGTGTAATGCCCACATCCCTACCCTGCCTTTGGAGTGTATTTCAAAGTATATTTCTCAGTATAATTCTAATGTGTCCCTTCTTTAGTTTCTTTAGTGCTGCTTCTGTTGAAATAGATATTAACCTATGTGTAAATTCCCTGAAACAGATTGATATATGCTTTAAAAGTGATTATTATAGGAATTTGGGGGAACTACTGTATTTTCTTAAAAGACAAAGTATGTAATTTTAATTTGTTTAATTTAGTATTTGTTAATATCTATGTATGACATATTGACTCCTCTGTCTTTGTGACATTTTGCTCAAATAAGGAAAAATAATCCTGTTTGTGCCTGAGGATAAAGGATCAATTCTCTCCAGTTTTTAAATGATAAAGAAAGTTTAGATTAGTTTTTTGTTACAATTTAAATATTTTTCCTGAAGAAAACTGTGTTTTTAATATTATATTTAGATATTAAGGCACATTTTAAGCTCCATAATTTTACATTGTCTTAGCTGAATTCTCACAAATTAGAAACTTCAGAATTAACTTCAAAAGATCTATTTAGTCAAGAAGCAATGAAAAGAAAAAATTTTCCTGATTGGATCTAGTGCTTAAATATTCTACCCTTAGCCATTTATTGAGTAAAATGTTTTGGCTTAAAAAAGACGTAATGGGGGCCAGCCTGGTGGCACAGTGGTTAAGTGCACATGTTCCGCTTTGGCGGCCCGGAGTTCACCGGTTCGGATCCCGGATGCGAGCATGGCACCGCTTGACAAGCCATGCTGTGGCAGGGGTCCCACATATAAAGTAGAGGAAGATCGGCACGGATGTTAGCTCGGGGCCAGTCTTCCTCAGCAAAAAGAGGAGGATCGGTGGCAGATGTTAGCTCAGGGCTAATCTTCCTCAAAAAAAAAAAAAAGATCTCTGAGAAAGGATGCCCTTTGGTTGAACCTGTGCTATGAAGTGAAAAATGCTATTAAAATATGGAAGTCCCTTGGAGTTAGAAAAACTTTCAGTGAAAAGGAAGTTAATTTATTGTATGTTAAATAAGGTATGTGTGCTTTCAAGAAGACAGAGTCCATAGAAAAAATTTGTTTTACATACCCAGGTGTATAAATTAAATACCACATACCCAACGTTTGCAAAACCAGAGTGCAATCTTAAGATGGATATTAGGTTTCTTAAATGTGCTGTATTGCATATGAGTGCAAAAACCTCTTTTGATGAAACCACATCTGTGATATTAGGTGGAACTCATGTAAAACTGAGTCGATGATGTCAATATTTACATTACTCCCAAGTATTTAGGAACTTATTTAGTAGGTATGTAAAGATACACTGAAATTATCTAAATAAGCATAAAAACTAGTGAGTTTTTTGTGACACCGAATTTACTGATTACTTTCCCTAATTTGTGTAATATTTTCCACCAAATCACATGGATCGAATTGATGTTATTTTGGATTTATATAATTCCAGCCTTTGTCTTGAGTAAATCAAATGGAAAAAAAATCTCTTTATTATTCCATGTGAACTATAGACTAACCTTTTAAGAAATGTTGATATCCTTAAAAAATTGGGAATAATTAAGCATTTAACACTCATTATCATAACTGACTTTTCTTCCTAATATTTCCCATCAGTGCTGGCCCCATAGACTCTAAAATTGGGTTGGAGGATGCCCTAGGTTTAGTGGCTCAATATTGGCCCTTGAAGCCTTGAGTTATATCCTTAGTGGGAGGTAAATTAAAAGGTATTTTGTTGGGGCTGGCCCAGTGGCGCAGCAGTTAAGTTCTCACGTTCCACTTCAGCAGGCCGGGTTTGCCAGTTTGGATCCCGGTTGTTGACCTACATACCACTTATCAAGCCATGCTGTGGTAGGTGTCCCACATATAAAGTAGAAGAAGATGGGCACAGATGTTAACTCAGGGCCAGTCTTCCTCAGCAAAAAAGAGGAGGATTGGCAGCACATGTTAGCTCAGGGCTAATCTTCCTCAAGAAAAAAAAAATTTATTGTAGCAACTTCAGGAGCTAAAGTTATAATCCTTTGAAGTACCTTGTTTAAAAGAAATTCTTTAACCAACATTTTCATTGTATGGTATAAGTTAATATTGTCTGTGAATATGGTTTAAATGAATAGAATTAACAGATCTCAGTATGAGAAATTGAAAAATTTTTGCTTTAGATGTTTTATCAATTCTTGTGTATTTATTTTTAACAAATTTACATTTATAGATGGAGAACAAACACACTTTTTCCGATTGGCATCGTGTGGTCAGGATTGCCAGATCAAAATGTGGGTTGTTTCTTTTACGCATGTCTCAGGTATGGATTCAACTAGTGGCTCTCTAAAATTATTTGTGATCCAGATAGAATTTCTATTTTAATTGATCTTTTTACCTAAGGTACTCTGAGTATCTAAAAATGATCATAAAAATATGTTTTAAGAACTTTTAATCAAAGTAATTACATAGATGTGATTTAAAGATTGACCACTCACTGCTAATTATGACGTCACCACCACCACCACACTTATTCCTGCTTACCAAAAGTAACCACTTTGCACTTGGTTTTCAACTCTTGGTGGTTTCCACAGTTTCTGTAAATATTATTTATACCACCCTATTTTAAATTTATTCACTATAGTTACTGTTATTTTGAGTGTGGGGGTCTTTTTCCCATGCATGGTACTAATCCTTCAAGTGACCCTTCAATCAAGAAACTTACGTTGTTCAGTTTTGGAGTACAGCATTTCTTTGTGATAGTTCTTTAATGATTTATATGTATTTTCCCCCCAATTTATCTCTTTTTCCTACTTTATAGGGAAATTCCTCACCTTTATCTTTTAATTTTCTTCTGAATTTTTTATCCCATCTATCATCTTTTCAATTTCTAAAAGCTCATCGTCTTCTCTGTTTCTTTTTCAAAGTGTCCTCCTTTTATTTTATGAATGCAAGATCTTCTCAAAACTCTCAGGATACCAATTAGAGGCTTTTTGTTTTGTTTTGTTTTTGTGTTCCCTTCTGTTTCCTGATCATCTTTGTTTGCTCTGGGGCCCTTTTTTTGTTTACCCTGATCTTTCTCTTTCGTGTGGTTACCTTCTTCAAATGTTTAGTGATCCTTAGTACTCTATTTACATTGAGGAATTAGACAATAAGATATTTAGAAACCCTGCATGTTGCGGTTTGTTGTTGCTGGCTTCCCTTTGGAATAAGAAGGTGGGTTGTGGGTTGGGGGCTTAGAGAGTGTGGGTGTCTGTGTTGCCCTGGGGCTGCGATGGAGCTCCCCTGGCAGTCATTATTTTCCTTGGAAATATTTTGCCTGGGGAGAAGCATCTGGCTTTCATGCAGCATACTATGGGTGAGGTCAGGGAGGGCCTGGAGGTAGACGTTGAGTGTTTCATAAGCAGACTTTTAGTTAATTTTTCTGTTTTCATGTCCTTATCTGTGTCGTTCTGTCTTTGCTTTTCCTTGCCGGTGATAGTCCTAAGTGTTTTGGGGTTTTCTAGGGCAGACTAGCTTTCTTCTTGGCTATAGCCCCCTCCCTTTGCATTTAGGGCTGTTACTCCTCTACACTGCCTCTCGATTAATTTGCTTTCTGCCTTCCCAAAATTGGTTTCAATTTCTGATGTGCTGATGCCCCCCTTCCTGTTCTCTTTGTTGATGTGATTTTATATCTTTATTAATTCCTTTGTTATCATTTAATGGGAACTCTGAAATTATATGGTTCATTGGCCATCTTGCTTCAGATACCTAAAAATATTTTGTTACCTAGTAATCTTCAGTTAAATCACAAACTACATTTCATTGTTTATAATTATTATCAAAGATAAAGCTGGACGCTAGTTAAAATGGTAAGGACAGAGTTTAATCAGTAATATACTATTGCAATAGGGAAAAGAGTCCAGCATGAACTGAACTCAACTTCAGTTGAGGTGACTGGGCGTTTTAAAGGGAGAATGAGAGAATAAAGAGGGGTATAAGTGGAGGCTCTGTTGAGTCAGGGAAGTGAAAAATTACAAAAGCAGGAAGGGAGGAGTTGGTCCATGTGAAATTCATCTGAGTTTGCTGACTGACAATGGAAGTTAGGCTCCTACCCACCCACAGAGACTGGGGGACAGGGGCCCTCTCTTCAGGTGTTGACTGGAGCAAACAGTAAATTCCTTGGCAGCCTTGAGTTTTCTCAGGCAGGCACTTTAAGGGAGCTAGGGTCATCCTAGGGGTGCAGCCTTGTGCTCTTAGAAAGTGTGTTAGTTTAAGCAAAGGTCAAGGTCAAAGCTTAGTCAAGAAGAGGGCTCCGAAGAGCTAGCTAGAGTTTGGTCAAGGAGAGAATCTTGTCATTATCCTAGTGCATAGAGAGGGGCCTATTGCCAGGAAATACATACATTTCTTTTTGTGGAAATTTAGTTAATTTATTGCCTGTTAGGTTACGTTTAGTAGTTCTTTTAACATATTCAATGACATGCTGGTGAAGATAAGAGTTCCTTTACTTCTCTGGTCTATCTTCTTCCTTCTGCTCCTGTCAAAGTAAAATTCTTGTAAGAAACCATAAATATGTTCATATATGTAGATGTTCTAAATACAATATATCTTTAATACTTGTTCAAAGGTAAAGCTTTTCATTCATTGGAAAATGTTTTTACACTGACTCTTTAAAAAACATATATAACAGTTTATAAATGTGCAGTTAAAGCCTCTTTATAAAGCATTTATCATCATTTGCACCTAATTATTTTAATTGCTTATTTGTAGGAAGGAATAGATAGATGTGTGGATATCATACTTGAGAATGTAACCTATTCTTATGGTCATAGTGCAAATTTTACAGGTCTTCATTTGGTTTGCAACTCAACATTTTTGCTTTGTTTGATAATGCTTACATCTTTTCTCCAAGATAAAAAAATATATTTTTCTATTTTTGATAGAAATAAAATGTATATTTAATAATAATTAAATAAAATATATTTTTTGAAACATTTACCTGCTCTAATGACCTTTTTGTTTAGTTAAATGCTTGCTATCTTAAGAGCCATTAACACTTCAAAAAAGTTTTTATTAGGTCTGAGAAAATTATAGATTTCACTATTTCCTTGTCTCCCTGGACGAACTTCTTAATAATTATTTTTATAGATTGTCCGTGAAACATGTTGAATTCCCTTGGTTTATCTTTAAAATAGATGTGATATTTCTTTTCAGTAATTATAGAAAGCATAAAAAGGATTTTAGTGTTACCGTACTTTGTAGGAGTATTATAAGATATATTGGAAATATGTATAAATTACCACTGATTATTTTTTATTTAGGGAATGATAAAATATTTCATCAGACTTAAAAAACTATAGCCATTTGATTCTTTTTAGGCATTTGGGCAATTGAGATATATATGTATATGTTTTTTATTAGACACCAAGATTATAGTGTAGTTGAAAATTTTATATTTTTATATACTTTAAAGAGCTTAAAATTTAAAAAATAAGTTGATAATTATAACCCCGCCCCTGGTCTAGCCTTTGCTGAGCGCGCCATTTTCTTTCCCCATTACTGAACTTTTGAAACCACTTAATCACACTGCCTTCCATTACCTGAGTTGCATGAGGATTTTTTCATTTTTGTGTCCTTTAGGCACTCAAAGATTATTTATTGAATAAATAAGTGAAATAGTTTTGACTTAAAAAATAAATTATAAGCATGGTCACCTTGCTAATTTTTCTCACCTTGTTATTTGCAGGTTTTGAATTAAAATATAAAAGTACACTGAGTGGGCACAGTGCTCCTGTTCTGGCTTGTGCCTTTTCTCATAATGGGCAAATGCTAGTCTCGGGGTAAGCTATTTAGTTTAATCTCCTTAAACCATTTTGATATAAAATAGACATATAGAAAAATACATCAAACATAAGAGAATAGCTTGATAAGTTACTTTGATGCAAACCTGTGTAACCATTATTCAGGTCAAGAAATAGAACAGTAGTTGGTTCTGCTCCAGAAGTCCTCCCCTTTTAAGTGCCCCTTTCTGGGGACAACACCTTAGATAATACATAATACTGCTTTTTTCTTTTAAACTGATTTAAAACAAATCATACAATATGAATTATTTTGTGTCTGGCTTCCTTTACTTAACATAATATTTATGACATTCCTTCATGTTACCGCGTATATCTGTGGTTTGTTGATTTTCATTGTAATATTCCATTGCATGCATATACCATACTTTATCCATTTTAATGTTGAGGAACATATGGATTATTTCCAGATTGGGAACATTATAATAATAATTCTGTGAATATATCTGTATCTCCTGGTGCACATGTTCATGCATTTCTGTAGGGTGAATACATAGAAATGGAATTGATGGGTTACACAATAGTTGTATTTTCAACTTTGACAGTAACACCAAATTGTTTTCCAAGTGGTCAAACACCCCTACAGTAGTGTTATTTCAAATGCTAGCCTATGCTTGGTATTGTGGGTCTTTTTAATTTTAGCCATTGTGATAGATGTGAAGTTTTATCTTATTGTGGTTTTAATTTGTGTTTCCCTGAAAGAGTGAGGTTAAAACCTTTTTCAGAAATTTATTGTCCATGTGTATTTCTTCTTTTATCAGGTGCCTGTTCATGTCTCTTGCCCATTTTCTTCTGGATTATCTTTTTCTTATTGATTTGTTGTTGATATCTGTCTGTCCGTCTCTCTGTCTATCTATCTATCTATCTATCTACCTACCTCTCTATTTCTGTATATGAGCCATTTATTGGTTATATGTGTTGCAAATATTTTTCCCCTCTCTTTGGATTTGTCTCTTCTTAGTTTATAATTTTAGTGTAGTCAATTTCTTTATGTTCTGAGGTCATGAAGATATTTTCCTATATTATCTTCTAAAACCTTCATTGTTTTTCCTTTCTCAAATTTGATTTGTGTGTATGATATGCGATAGGAATCTAGTTTCATTTCTTTCCATGTGGATATGCAGCTGTCCCAGCAGTATGTATTGAAAAGACCATCTTTTCTCCACCATTTTGCTATGTTGCCTTGTCAGAAATCACTGACCATGTGTGTGTGAGTCTGTGTCTCAGCCTGCTATTCCATTCTGTTTTTCTGTTTGTCTCTCCTTGCTCTGAAACCATTCTGTCTTTCCAAGGCTTTAGATTTTGGCTATTCCTGGCTTTTGACACTTCCATATAAATTTTAGAATTAGCTTGTCAGGTTGCCTCCAATTCCCCCCTCCACACATGCAAACCTCTTTGGATTTTGATTGGGGTTATATTGAGTCTGATAAATTTGGGGAGAATTGACATCTTTATGATATGGAGTCTGCTAAACCATGAATGTGTCCTATTTCACCATTTATTTTTCTTTTGATTTCTCTCAATAATTGGTGTGTGGAAGTCCTCCTCATCTTTTGTTAGATTTATTTTGAGGCACTTAATTTTTTTGTTACTGTTATAAAAGATGTGGCTAATATAGAGAAATATATGTGGAAAGACAATGGATTTTTCTATAAAGGTTCTAATTTTTGATTTTCTATGTACAAAATCATGTCATATGTTAATAATGATGGCTTTGTCTCTTCTGTTCTAGTCCTTGTACTTTTGACATCTTCTACGCCTTACTGAACTGGCTAACACTACCAGGATTAGGGGAATCATTCCTCATTGCAAAGGGAAAGCTTTCATTATTGCGATCACTGTAGATTTTTGAGAGATAAGCTTTATGCGCTCTTCTATTCCTTCTAGTTTCTAAGAATTTTTTATCACGAATAGGTGTTATATTTTGTCAAGTGATTTTTCTTGCATCTTTTGAAGTCATAATATGATTTTTCTCTTTTATTCTATTAATATGGTAAATTATACTGATTTTTCAAATACTAAACCAACCTTGCTTTGTTGGAATAAACACAACTTAGGACATATTATTTTTATGTATTGCTGTAGAGAAGTCAGTTTTATTCTGACTTGCTCCTTTGAATGTAATTCATATTTTTTTTGCTGGCTGCTCACAAAATTTTCTTTTTGTAGTTTTCTGCACGTTTACTTTGGTGTATTTAGATTTGGGTTTCTTTTTATTTAGTTTGCTCAGAATTCACGGAACTTCTTACTAATGTCGAATGATAGTTTATCAGTTTAGTGGAAATTCTTATTCATTATCTCTTCAGATGCTGCCTCTGTCCGTTTTTTTCCTCTTCTCTAAATCTAGGACTCCAGTTAAATGCAAATTATACCTTCTCACTGTGAACTTTATGTTTCTTTTCTATTTTTCATTCTTCTATTTCCTTTGCTTCGTTCTGAATGGTTTCCCTTTTACTGATAGTCTCTTCAGCTTTATTTAATGTGCTATTAAACTGGTCTACTGATGAGTCCTTAATTTTTATTTTATTTTTCAGTTCTAGAATTTCTATTTGGCTTTTTTTCAGGTCCACTATGTCACTTTTTGTGATTTCTAGTTCTCTCGAAAATTTTAATCTTAGCTTTTATTTTTCAAAGCTTTATTCTGTAAAGCAGTTTGTTTGGGACACAGTAACATGATTCAGTTCCTTTATATTCTCCTTTTGAATACTTTGGTATGTTTTCTCCTTCCTGCCATTGGATTTCTAAAACTTTCCTGTCTGATATCACAGGCTATAGCATTCAAACCCACATTCATGGCTCTTCACAGCACCTTTGGCCCCAGCTGAGATATTTAGGCTCCTGACTTCCACTTAAAATGTTCTGGACTAAGCCTGATAGTTCTTTTCCCCATATGCTTCAATCCTTCCCAAATAATCAGCAAAATAATTAGCTATGTAGCCATTCTATTAGATATGACTCTTTTATTTCAAGAGATGAAAATAGTTCATCATCAAAAAGCATTTATAGTAATTCTTTTTTTACCTAGAATTGAAATCAGTGGAAAGTTTAAACAGAGAAAGTTGGATTTCCTTCTCTTGTTTTGGGGGACATTTTGTGCATTTCACTCTTGAGAGGTTAATCAACAAAATGTTTATATGAAATTCAGCAAATATTTATGGCTCTCTTATGTGTCCACCTCTCTGCTGGTGGCAATAGGGCATATAAAAGGAAGTATAAGACAATGTTTGTGCCCTTGAAAATGTTTTAATTCTCTGTCCTGATAGTTGATGTTCATGGTGATAACCTAATAACGCTGAAAGATCCTGATATGCTTACCCTCTGAATCATGGAAGAAGTGCTAAGTGATACTCAATATAGTTTTTGTGTTAAGGTCATTTTATAGCATTATAATGTCTTGTTTCTTGTATATATGTGCATCTTAATTAACTAACATATTATATTAACTGGAATGTTCCTTTTCCTTCATTCTGGATAAATGGAGGTTTACATTATTAAATACTTTTTGGTGTACAGTGTTGCTCTAGGTCGCATTCAGATAGTCTTCTGAATATTTTTAGTTTATTTGGATAAATATACAGGCAAGTGAATGAGTTGGAAATGTAAGTTGGTGAAATATAAACATTTAGTTTTTTAGGAGAATTGAGAGACATGTTTGAACCATATTTGATGAGTCGATAAATAAGTTAATTGGTCAATGATAGAGAGATTTCATTTGTGACTAAAAGTCATTGGTAAGGTACAGTAGATACATATGAGAAAGAGGGAGACAGTGGGGAAAAAGTGTGTAGAATAAAAGATATCTGAAAATAAGAGGCTAGACAGGAAAAATGAATTGACAGCAGAATGGGATTGTAGGTGAGAAGTCTACTAAGGAAGTTGTATAGGGCATAGATATGGGTGACCATGTAAAAGGCGGTACAGAATTTATAGACGCAGATAGGGGAGGATTGGGCAACTGAAAGGCCATTCCAGGTGGCAGGAAATTCTTGGCTAGATTAAAATGTGTGGTAAATATAAAGAGGAGAAAGGGGAATTGAGGCTGTAAGAATAAGTGGTAGAGGTGATGGATTTAAGAGAACTACTGAAACTTTTAAAGCATTCTAATAGACATTGCCTAGCTATACCAGATGAGTGCTAATGCTGAAGTAAAGAAATGGAATCACGATTTAGGTCAGAGGTTCTCATACTTTTTGGTCTTAGGATTCTTTGACACTCTTAAAAGTTATTGGGGACTCCAAAGAGCTTTTGCTTATATGGTTATATATATCGCTATTTACAGAAAATAAAACTGAGAAAATGCTAAAACATTTTTAATTCATTTAAAAACAAGAATGAACTCATTGCATATTAACAACATTTTTTCTTAGGAAAAATAAAAAAATAGAAGAGGGGCAGTATTTTAAATTTTTGAAAATCTCTTCAGTATCTGGGTTAGCGGAAGATACATTGATTCTCATGTATGCTTCACACATTCCATTAGCTTTCAGAGTTATGATGACATCACACATCATGGAGCAAAATATGTAGGAACTTTTCCCCTTCATCTTTCTCCACGTCTCTCCTCTAATAACTTTCTTCTAGCTGCTTAGCAGAATTTGTCCTCAGTTCCACTCCACTTCTCCTGATCCAACCAGATAAAATGAACATTGTATGTATTAGCTTCTATTCAAGCAGGAAGGGTCAGTCTTTATAATTCAAATAGAGGCTGTCTCCTTCCATAAGTTCTCAGTACTAGTAGTTAGGATTCCTTGGAAACTAGTTTAAAAATGCCCATTGTTGTTAGAGTTTTAAGAGTTCAAGAAGTAACACCCTCTTTTCTTGAGTTGAAAACCAATGAGAGAGAAATATAGGATAGACAGTCTGGGTAACAGACTATAAATCTGCAGCTGACTTGCTCACGTGCTCTTGGACAGCACGGACTGCCGCAGACTTGCCCTGCAGGGGCAGATTGGAAACAGGAAAATCCAGAAGGGACTGCGCCACGTGGCTTAGCGTCTGCCGCCAGACTTTCCAGTCATCTGTCCTTCCTTTTCTGCTAAGCAGGAGAGAACGAAGAGAGGCCAGGAATCTCACTCCAGGAGGGATGGGAAGTGTCCCCCCTCTTCCCAGCAAGATGCCTGTTTATATTTTTTCTGTTTCATGCATGTGGACGTTCAAGTTCCATTGTCATAAATTAGGAGTGGCTTTAACAAACAACCTCTCGCTCAGTAATGACTAGCATAAGAAGACTTACGCTCACCCTTCCAAAACTCAAACCATCTTTTTTTTTTTTTTCCTGTTTCTACAACATTGTTGACAATCCTATGGAACAAGTCAGTTCATTTAAGTAGCCTTAAAAGTACGTGTTGCAATTTGTTTATCATGGAGGGTTATCAGATGTTGCATTGCTTGAAATTTTATGTCTTCTGAAAGCTTTAGTGAAGTTCGAATAGCCGTTCCATCTTCTTTAGGCTATAACTACCAGGGTAGTTATGCCATGGCCCATTATGAATCAATTTTAATTTTAATGTGTTCCTGGGGATGATGTTCTAGGAAGTGTAAAAGCCAAAAACGTGGGTTTTAGAATCACATAGAACTGAGTTTTAATCTCAGCCCTACCACTTACTAGCTGTATGACCTTAACAAGTTCCAGTTCCATCTCCTCTCAGCTTCACTTTTCTGAATTATAAAATGGGGAAAATAGTAACACATTCCTCATTAGATTGTTATGAAGATTAAATAAGAAAATGCAGGCAAAGCATTTATTACTTAGATTTGGGGCATAATAATTGCTCAATGCATGTTTATTAAATATTATGTATATTATAATAATGCATATTATTTTGTATGTAATCCAGAACATTGGGCAGTCGTATAACATGCCATTTTACCCTCTCATTGTCTGATTTCTGCTTTTTCTAAATTAACTTTTAGCTGTTGGCCTATACTGAGGGTTGTTACAAAACAGCTGTTTGAAACCATGTTTATTCAAGAAGAGTTGTTGAGGACTTGGTTCCCAGCATCCTCTCTATAAAGACCTTGGAGGAAATAGTTCTTTCACGTCTCAGTCTAAGGAATTGATGTCTCTTTTCCAAGCATTGGGTTTGTGTTTCTATCTTAAATTGTGTAACAGATTGTTTCCTTTTTTGAATTGCTGTTGAAGAAGCTCGGAACCAAATTTGCAGTCCTCCGTTAGCAATGTAGGCTGGATTTTATGACATATATTTTGTATACTAATCTTAACCTTCATTCCTCTCCCCACCTCATCCTTATGTTCTCTTCCTCATCAGTTTCTTCACTTTTTTTTTTTTTTTTTTTGGTGAGGAAGATTGGCCCTGAGCTAACATCTGTGCCAGTTTTCCTCTATTTTGTATATGGGATGCCATCACATGGCTTCATGAGCAGTGTGTAGGTCTGCACCTGGGGTCTGAACCCACGAACCCTGGGCTACCGAAGTAGAGCATGCAAACCTAACCACCACAACAACAGGCTGGCCCCACCTCACATGATTTTTATCTTGTTTTTGCTCCATCTTTGTAAGAGACTGCAAATACTTTCTGAATGGGAAGAAACATAGATATGTTTAAAATAAAAATGCTTGTGTGTAAAATAAATCTTTAAACCTTGGGAACGTACTTGACCTAAAGAAATAGTTGTTGATAGTTTTATTTGATTAGTTTTTTGGCCATTGTATAAAGCTAGTTTGGATTAATATGCTGTGGGTGAATTCTGACATGGATGGCTGTACAATGTCACTATAATGTCACTGATCTCCCTTCAGCCTATGATTATACTCTCTCCCATATCAAGCACACAACTGTCTGTGTTGTTGCTCTTGTCTAGTAGTTGTCTAGATATAATTGACATGTTTCTCGTCTATTCTTGAGTGAGTAGAGTTGAGGTTTTAGAGTGCCACAAAACTGCAGAAACAGATTATCAAAAGGCTTGAATACTAAGGCCTCCTTCTTAAGGAAAAGTGGGGTTAGGGTGACAGGGCAGATGGGTTGGAATGGGGATACAGAAAAGTTAGAGGAGGAGTTATATAAAGCAGGCAGGAAATGTACAACCGGGGCAGCAAACAGTTGGATTTTTTGTGTGATGTTGGTTGAGGTTCAATTTAGGGAATAGTTTGAGATTTTATATTGTTTCAGTAGTTACAGAGTATTTTATTTTGTGTCTATTTACAGTGATTCTTTTATCTCCTGGACTTTGAAACTCATATCTCAAATATCAAAAACTGTTATTTTTCCCTAATCCTAATTTCCTTCCTTCAAAATCTAATCAGTCATCAAATCCTGTTGCATCTTCCTTTCAATCCCTATTAGTCAAATTGGAGGCCATAGGAAAATGTGTTGAAAATCCTTTTTCTCTCCAGAGTCTGCAGGTCTCTGTCCATAATCTCCATTCTTGCTTGGATTCAATGGACTCTTAATTAAGAGTTCTTCTTGTTTGGTCTTTTGCTCCTCAAATTCATTCCTATACCTCATCAGCAAGTGAACCTGTTCCATTGCCTTCCTATTCCATTGCTTTCATGGCTCCCTATCTGTTGCCTACAAGACTGTCTAAATTTCTTGGGCAGGCACTCAGGGTACTTTGTATTTTTGTTCTAGTCTGCATTTTTGGCCTTATTGCTTGCTATTTCCATATGTAGACTTTTTCTTGTTGCCCTAATTTCTGTCTTCCCAGCACAAAGCTCACGAAGATTACTAATGATGATCCAGCTTCTCAAGTGATACATCGTTAGGATGAGTTAGTTTTAATTGCAGTAGTGGTAGTCTCAGAAGATGGAATTTCCTTTTGCTTTTCTTTTTTAAGATGCTCAGAAGTAATAATAGCGTTTTCCCTAAGAATTTTAGATATTCCAGTAATAATACCTTGTACCTTGAGGAATTTAAGACTAAATAAGAGTGGTTTATAAATGATGTCTAGCATATACATGCTCAAATAATGTTAGCTGCTAATATAATTTCTCATTTTTTTTTGGATGGAATTTAACATTTAATGCTATAACTCTTTTTTGACATTCTGAATGCATTTATAGCCCTCCCATTTTCTTGTATTTTATTTTATATTTGGATGTTTAAAGAATAATTCCTATTTTGAATTTATGACAAAGATTCTGCAGTCAAAATTCGTCATCAACACTGGATAGCCAACTAAACAAGGAATTTTAAGTCTTATTTAAAGGAATTTTAAGCCTCCCAGTAGGTATGACTCCTGTGGTCAGACTGTAATCAGCTACGTTTTAGGAATAAGTGCAAATATTATTCAAGTTGTACAGAAGGTAGTAAGTAACACTTGTATTGTTCATATGTTTTCTTGCCTTGCAACATTTCCAAATGGGGAAATATCCAAAAAAGACTATTTCCAAAGGGGGAATATATCATGTAGAGGCATATTTATCTATTGTTTTTAATTATGTGTTTTGTTATAGTATTACATTTTTTTGGTATGATGATTTTTTTCATCATTAGAATAATCCCAGATGGTGGTTTTTAATTTTTATACCATTAAAAGAAACCATGTAGAGTCCCTATCAAGTTTAGAATTACAATTTTCAAAAATGAGTCACAATCAAGATGTGTGTATATGCGTGTATATATATATCGGTAGATTAGTAATTAAGGCACAGCCATATTGACGACAGAGAACAATGCTATCTGAAACAAAAACCAAGTAGCAAGTAATAGCTTTTCCTTGTATTATTTTTCCCTTTCAGTTACTGACTTGATAGGGATTGTGTCTTATTTATACATCACAAATCCTTATTCTGTTTGTAGCTATATAGTATAAATAGCACATGCTAGTGTTTAATAAAGTTCATAATTTTCTGATATATTTCATATATGGCATGTAGTTTTTTGAATAAAAGTTTATACATGTGAACAAAAAGATACTGCATCTAAATGTATATCAATATTTCGGTCTTTTCTAAAAAAGTTGTTAGAATGATTTAAAAATACTAATTACATAAATGCTGTACTTGGTTTTTATGGAACTGTTCACCCATAAATTTCCTTTTTCTTTTAAAGATCAGTGGATAAGTCTGTGATAGTGTATGATACTGTAAGTATTTAAAAATCTTGTGTGTGTGATCTGTGTAAATTTTGTTTATTTATTAGGCTACTGAACTTCAAGTTTAGTTAGGCAAGATGAAAAAAATGTATACATTTTTTCTGTTTAGGGTGCCCAAGAGTATAACATACATTTTCAGAAATGCTAAAATAGTTGTGCAAGTGAGATACTGGTTTTGTGATTTTAAGATGGACAGATGTTTAATCTGATCAAAGAAAATACAGAATTAAAGAGCACCGGTATCCAAAAAATTACTTTAAATCCTTATTCTTAAACTTTTACACCAATTTTCCATAATAGCAAAGAATGAATGTTTACCCCAGGGTTTGGGGAGGGTATAGTTGAAAGTGGTGGTTAGAGTCCTGGCTGGATTTAGGGACTAGTATAAGGAAGAGTAGGTTATTATGGATTTAGAAAATGGGAGTTTTTGGTAGATCCATGTGAATAAAGGCTGAGTTGCATGAATATGAAGAAAAATGGATGTTTTACATATAGTCATGTGCTGCATAATGATGTTTTGGTCAACCATGGACTGCATATATAACAGTGGTCCCATAAGATTAGTATCATATAGGGGCTGGCCCCGTGGCCGAGTGCTTAAGTTCACTCACTCTGCTGCAGGCGGCCCAGTGTTCGGATCCTGGGCGTGGACATGGCACTGCTCATCAAACCACGCTGAGGCAGCGTCCCACATGCCACAACTAGAAGGACCCACAACGAAGAATATACAACTATGTACTGGGGGACTTTGTGGAGAAAAAGGAAAAACAAATCTTTAAAAAAAAAAAAGATTAGTATCATATAGCCTAGGTGTGTAGTAGGCTATACCATTTAGGTGTGTATAAGTAGACTCTATAATGTTTGCTCAACGACAAAATCGCCTGACAACTCATTTCTCTGAATGTATCCCAGTCATTAAGTGACATATGACTGTATAGTGAAGATGTAGTTGACAAAAATATTCTCCAAGAGAAATCCATGTTGACTGGAGACTTTTTTTTTTTGGTGAGGAAGATTGGCTCTACCCTAACATCTGTTGCCATTCTTCCCCTCCCCCCTTTTTTTTCCCTCCCCAAAGCCCCAGTACCTAGTTGTATATCCTAGTTGTAAGTCCTTCTCGTTCTTCTGTGTGGGACACTGCCACAGCATGGGTTGATGAGCAGCCTGTAGGTCCATGCCCAGGATCCAAACCAGCAAACCCCAGGCTGCAAAAGCAGAGCATGTGAACTTAATCACTGCACCACCAGGCTGGCTCGCCATGAATGGAGCCTTATAATGATTGAGTTCAGGCTGTAGCTATGCCAGCAAATGAAATGGATATGTAAATTATCAAAGTGTAGTGGTTCAAGCAAGGAATCTAAACTAGTCCTCCACACAGAAGTTCAAATCATTGAGAGTTCTGGCAGGAAATGTGAAACAATACTCAAACTAGGTGAAGTAGAACCTTAATATTTCTGATGAAATTTTCAGAAAATTTTACATTCACAAAAACAGCTATAACATTAAATTTTCTCCATAAAATATGTATATGAGTCTCAATTAAATACATATAGATGCTGGATGGCCAGCTAAGTGTACTCAAAATCTAAGTGCCTAATTTCTATTTGCTGGTCCTGCAATGGCTACAAGTCAAATGTCGTAGGAAAAATACAAATTATTTCATGTAATAGACATTTAGGTTACTGTTAGTAAGTTCAAATGAATCGGCAAAAGCTGAGAGTCTGTTATACTAAAGATTTCTAGGAAGGTGGTCCGTAGATAATAGTGCTGATAATTGAGAAAGAGTGAAACAAGTATCTGATAATATTCTCAGTTATAGATGTTATGCTCCATTCATTGGGTAAAGTTTCAACATGTATTAGTGACTAATAATAATAATTACAGTTCACTTAGCCATTTATGTCAAATGAGTTTTTATCTGTAACTTTACTCTTGCCTGAGTAAATCTAAAGCTGTTTCTCTTGTTTTTCAGAATACTGAGAATATACTTTACACGTTGACTCAGCACACCAGGTCTGAACTTTCTCTCTATTAATATAATTAAAATTAAATATAATTAAAATTAATGTAATTTAAAAAAATAGCCTGAGGATACCTAATTGTTGTTTTTATTAACTAGGTATGTCACAACATGTGCCTTTGCACCCAATATCCTTTTACTTGCTACTGGTTCAATGGACAAAACAGTGAACATCTGGCAATTTGACCCGGAAGCACTTTGCCAAGGTTAGTAAGGACATCGTATTTAACCCTGTTCAACTGCATTCACCATTAAAATCAGAAATTCAGTAATTTTTTTGACAAATTATTCACATTGCTTTTCTCACTATGAAGTATACATCCAAGTTTAATGTAATTTAAAAGTAATTTCAGAAAAGCGAGTCTTAAAGTAGTTGACCTATGTTAAAACTGTTGGTAAATGCTTTTGGCGCACATTCAGGTTTATCACATCTCCCATGGCTTTGTAAGCTCGCTATTTATACTCTGTACTAATTTTTCAGATAAATATAGCCTGGGAACAAAATAGAAATTATTGTTTTATTTTGTTGGTTTTATTTTTGGCCTCATCAAGCAATGTTGCCACATAATTTAGGCATTTTATTTTTATCAGTGTCAGAATTAACCAAATAGTGGTGCTGATAAGCAGATGATAGAGCAAATAGAATACTTTTGCTGACATGAATTTTATATAATAAAGAAAAATTGTTCTTCCGGAGTGAAAAATAAAAAGCACCAAAAGAGCAGTATTTAAAGTAGTATTAAATGGTGCATAGTATTTGATTTTTTGAAATTTCTTTAAAGGATGTTAAAGTAGTAAAACACAGATTTTAAAAAATTTCATTTACTTTTTAATTCAAAGTGAGAATGTTTATAAAGGAAATACTTTTTCTTTTGTTTATTTCACTTGCCTTTTTGTGTGGGTTTTTTTGTTTGTTTGTTTTTTAAGCAGGGAGCACAGAAGATCAGCCGAAGCAGTTTATTGAAGATTGGTCAGAGGACGACGTCTCAACATGGCTCTGTGCACAAGGTTTAGAAGACCTTACTGGTCTCTTCAAAATGAATAACATTGATGGAAGAGAACTGTTGAATCTTACAAAAGAAAGTCTGGCTGATGATTTGAAAATTGGTAAGATTAGTGCAACATAGGCAGTCTTAAAAACAATTTTTAATAATGTACTCTGAGATTGGTTTTAGTTGCATTAATGGTTTCCTCTTAATATTCTAACCTAGTAAGTAAGCTGGTATATATCTTCGCACAGAAGGACCGTATATTTTTATTAGATTATGGAAAGGAAATGTTACATAGCATTTCTTTAGGTAACTAAAGCGACCATGTAACTGTAATTTTCAAAACATATATTTTTTAAATTGAGATATAATTCACATATGATAAAACTCATCCTTTTATAAGTGCACATTGCAGTGATTTTTAGTATATTCACAGAGTGGTAAATCACCACTATATAATTCCAGAACATTTTTCTCAAAAAGAAACCCCATGAGCATTAGCAGCCACTCCTTATTCCCTTTCTCTCTAGCCCCTGGCAGTCACTGATCTACTTTCTGTCTCTAAGAATTTGCCTATTCTTGATGTTTCATACAAATGGAATCATACAATATATGGCCTTTTGTGTCGGGCCTCTTTTACTTAGCAAGTTTTCAAGGTTCATCCATGTTGTATCACATATTAGTACTTCATTTATTTTTACAACTGAATAATATTCCATTGTATGATTTTATCACTTTTTGCTTATCTATTCATCAGTTGACTGAATTTAGCTTGTTTCCATTTTTTAGCTGCTATAAATAATGCTGATGTGAACACTCATGTACAAGTTTTTGTGTGGGCATCTATTTCCAGTTTTCTTGGGTGTATAATTAGGAGTGGAATTGGTGGGTCATGTGGTAACTCTGTGCTAGCCTTTGAGGAACTGCCAGACTATTTTCCCAGGCAGCTGTGCTGTTTTACGTTCTCACCAGCAGTGTGTGAGAATTCCAGTTTCTCCACATCCTCAACACTTGTTTGCTTTTTAAATTATAGCCATCCTAGTGGTTTCTCATTGTGGGTAGTTTTTTTTTTTCCCCTGAGGAAGATTAGCCCTGAACTAACGTCTATTGCCAATTTTCCTCTTATTTTGCTTAAGGAAGATGAGCCCTAAGCTAACATCTGTTGCCAGTCTTCCTCGTATTTTGCTTGACGAAGATTAACTCTGAGCTAACATCTGTGCCAGTCTTCCTCCACTTTATATGTGGGTTGCCGCCACAGCACAGCTGTTGAGTGGTGTAGGTCCACACTCGAGATCTGAACCTGCAAACCTGGGCTTCTGAAATGGAGCACACCAAACTTTACCAGTATGCCACTGGAGTGGCCCCTCCTTGTGGTTTTGATATGCATTTCTCTGATGACTAGTGATGTTGAACATCTGTTCATGTGCTTGTTGGCCATTTGTATATATTGTTTGGAGAAATGTTGATTCAGATCCTTTGCCCATTTAAAAAATTGGGTTATTTGTCTTTTTTCTGTTGTTTATATAAATTTGGATACTAGACTTTTATCAGATAGATGATTTGTAAATATTTTCTCCCATTTTGTGGGTTATCTTTACACCTTCTTGATAGTATCCTTTGATGCACAAAAGTTTTAAATTTTGATGGAGTCCAGTTTATCTGGTTTTTTTTCCCTGTTGTTACTTGTGCTGTAGGTGTCATATCTGAGAAACCATTGCCTAATCCCAAGTCTCAAAGATATACATCTGTGTTTTCTTTTATGACTTTTATAGTTTTACCTCTCACATTTTCTGTGTAATCAGTTTTGACTTAATTTTTATACGGTGTGAGGTAAGAGTCTAGCTTAATACTCTCAGATGTGGATATCCAGTTGTCCCGGCACCATTTGTTGAAAAGACTATTCTTTCTCCTTTGAATTGTCTTGGCACCCTTGTGGATCAGTTGATCATAAATTTGAGGGTTTATTTCTGGATTCTCAATTATATTTCATTGATATGGTTGTCTATCTTTCTGCTAGTTCCACACTGTCTTAATTACTATAGCTTTGTAGTAAGTTTTAAAATTGAAAAATGTGCCCTCCATCACCCATCCCCACCCAAGATTGGTTTTGCTGTTCCGGGTTCCTTGTATTTCCATATGAATTTTAGGATCAATTTATCAGTTTTTGCAAAACACAGCCACTTGATTTTGATAGGGAATGTATTGATCTGTAGATCAGTTTGGGGATTATTGTCATCTTAGTATTGAATCTTCCAGTCCATAAGCACAGGATGTTTTTCTGTTTATTCAGGTATTAATTTCTTTCAATGATGCTTTGTAATTTTCAGTGTACAAGTCATTTTTTAAGTGTCAAATTCAGTGGTTTTTAGTTTATTCATAGAGTCATACAGCCATCATGACTATCCTATTTCAGAACATTTTTATCTCCCTAAAAGAACGCCCTTCTCTCCTCTCCCTGGCTTCTGGCAACCACTAATACACTTTCTGTCTCTATGGGGTTTTATAAGTAGAACTGTACAATATGTGGCCTTTTGTATTGGGTTCTTTTATTAACAATGCTTTCAAGGTTCATCCATGTTTTTCTATGTGTAAGTACTGCATTCCTTTTTATGGCTGAATAGTATTCCATTGTATGGCTATACTACATTTTGTTATTCATTTATTCATTCATTCAGCAGTTGATGGACATTTGTGTTGTTTCCATTTTTCGCCTACTATCAATAATGCTGCCATGAACATATATGTGTGAGTTTTTGTGTGAACGTGTTTTCATTTTTCTTGGGTATATAATTATGAGTAGAATAACTCTACATTTAACATTTTGAGGAACTGCCAGACTGTTTTTCAAAGCAGTTGTACCATTTTACATTCCCACCAGCAATGTTTGAGTTTTCTAATTTCTTTATGTCTTTGTTAACACTTATTACCTGTCTTCTTGATTACAGACATCCTAGTAGATATGAAGTGGTATTTCACTGTGGTTTTGATTTGCGTTTACCTAATGATATGGAGCATCTTTTTAAGTGCTTCTTGGCCATTTATCTATCTTCTTTGGAGAAATGTTTATTCAGATCCTTTGCCCTTTTTAAATTGACTTGCCTTTTTGTTGTTGAGTTGTAAGAGTTGTTTATGTATTCTGGATACTAGATCCTTATCAAAAACAGTTTGAAGTCTCTTATGTTTGTTAGAGCATGGCACTCGAATAACATAGATAACAATAATGTATGTTATTAATAAACATACATTAATATAATCAAATAATAAGCATAAATAATAGTAAACATAATAACCAGACACTATTATCAATATGCTTTGTAAAATCTTAATTAACCAGAAAACTTAGGAAATAGGATATCCGTAGTGAGATTTATTGTTAATGAAGACTCAAATAAAAAAATATTTGTTATAGAAAACCATTTTAAAGTATAGTGTTATATTTTCCTTATATATTAAACATAATATGTGAAGCTTTTTAAATCTCTTGGAAGCTTATGGCCTTTTAAGAAGTTAACAGAATGATGATTTTGTGAAAATACTTAGGGCTAGATAGTTTTGTATTCAGGCCATGCTGTGAAAGTTATTTTTGTATATCTAATGACTTAATTTCCATTATAATTTACTTTTTTCTCCTGAAAGTAGGTAATAGAATGTAGGTTTTTTTTTAAAGTTCTCATGAATTTGGCATCTTCATTAGTTGATTTTCTCATTATTCTCTCACAATAAATACTAACAGTACTTTATCACACAGAAGCACTTGACAATGTAAAATAATAATTTCAGATTTCAACCAAGGATGTTTGAAAACATGTAAGAGAAACATAGTAAAAATAAGAGGAATAGAATTCTATTCTGATAGCTAGATAAATAAAGAATAAGAAATTCTTACAGGATTCAATTAATGGCCTGAAATAGTTTTTGAAGGATGGGTGTCAGGTTTAGTAATTACAGTCATTTTAAAGTTCAGTGAAATAGGTTTTGAAACAAGCAGGCCCGAGCCAAGATTGAAATGTAATTTAAATAAGTCCTGTGGTGGTCTAATAGCTGAATGAGGAAAAGCATTATTATGAGTGGAGACTGAAATGTTGCACGTTCTCTAGTAAATCGGGACTCTACTTTGTGTTTGTGTTTAAGATTTGGAAAGTTAGCAAATTCAACACAGAATAAATTAGTAAATAAATAGACTAGGGCATTATTTTTTTCACATTCTAAAGTATTTTAAAGTTTTTGCAAGATTATAAAAGGATCAAGAGGCTAACTTTAATCTTCTACAGGTGCTATTTTAAGCTACAGTGAATTTCTCTTAGTCTTGACTTTTAAGGAAAGCAGACTTCCTCAAAACAATAAATCGGAGTAATAGAGAATTGAAATTGGTTCGAGAAAAAAATGTGTTAGGAGGCAAATTGTTGAGTGTATGAATGAATTTTACTCTTTCAGTGCATAGCTATCTTACTTGCATTTGCTTTTTTGGTACAACTGTTAAAATAGTTCCTATGTGACTGTGAATAAATATGAATTTGTTTAACATTCATCATATGGACGAAATTGATTATATTATGCAGTAAAGTACATTGGAATGTTAGAAACCAAAGTGTTATGTCTATTATGTTTGACAGTTAAAAAAATTATTTTTAAGGAATTACGCAGTCTATCAAAACTTTTCTCAATGAGCCTTTTGTGAACAAACAAAGGCACTTTATGTAGACTGGAATATCTGTTGGAATCTAGTGCTTTAACCCAGGATAATAGACCTTTTCTAGGATCATGTTAATGAAAACCAGTGGTAGAACAGATATAGTTTTAGGTAGGAAATAACTCCTTATATCCAGTACTACATTTTCATGAGGAATGTCCAGACAGAGATTCTTGTACAAGGTACAAAAGATCCTTGGCACTGAGAGAGATAGGTCCTAAGACATTTGTGAATCCATGAATTTGTGAACTCTACTATAGTATTTAATATTTCATTCAGAAGGCAGAAAGGATGAAAGGTGAGGAGCAAGAAAGTCTCACTGAGGTGTGATACGAGGCAAGCAGTAAGTCCTCTAACTAGGCATGTGACTTTCATCGGCATGTTGGCCTCGGTTTATATCTAGGTGTCAGGAGTATTGCAAATTGCTCCCTATCTTAGAATTTGGAATTGCTGTAGATGATATAACAGTAGAAAGTTGGAATGACAAATGCCTAGGAACTATTGTATATCATGTCAGTCCTTGCACTTATATTAAATAATTATCAATCATATATTCCTAATTGGAAATGAGATTTTTTCAAAGGGTTCCCTCTTCCTTTTGCTCTTGTCTTTCCAAGAAACCATGAAAGCACATGAGACATTTTTGTCATTTTATAATCTAAAAATTATAATACCAAATTACTATATAAAATACTTTTTCAAACTTTGTACGTCGCCTCTTTTAACATCCTCAGATTTTGAGTTTCATGTCTCAATTCCTAGTAATGCACCTTTATGTAGTTTTTCACTTGTTGCCCAGCATCATATCATTAAGTAATAGAACACCTACCGTTTTTTTCTTTATACATGATTAAAGTGAAACAGTCCCTTCAAATCTAATTATTATGGGCTTGTGCACTGACCTGCTACTGGAGTGCGCATAACCCTTCCAGTTCAGCTGCTGGTCTTAAACTGGCCCACCCTACTTTCCAGTGAGTACTTGTTGGGCATTTTGGGGTCTCCTTTCTTCAGGCCCGTCGGATGTCCTGTTGCTTCCTTCCACAGATGTCAGCCATGGGTCTTATGGATGGCGGTGGTTTCTCCTCACCCACTTATATTGTGGGGTCATAAGGATTCCTAGCTGCCTTGTTTTGTTGGAAATGTTGGTGGCATTTGATTTTGCTATCTAGTTAGTTGCTCTGTTTTTATGTGGGGATTCAGAGAAATTAAAAAACTAAAATGCTCCTACTACCATCCTCTCAAAATTGTTTTAACAGTTCCTACCATACCTATAGTTGTGTGTCCCTTTTCTTTCCTACTATAGTTTTTATATCTTTACTGTTTTTCTCTTAATCATTCTAGTCAGAAGTTTGGTGGTTTTTGTAAAATTTATTTTTCAAAAATAGAAAGTACTTTTTTCCCCTTAAGAAATAAACTTTTGGTTCTGTTGTTCTCTGAGGGCAGTGGAGAGGTGATTCAGTATCCAGCCTGTTGGGCTGTGCTTGTCAGGTCTAGGCTATAGCGCTGTCTTGTTCTGCTCCAGTTGATGCTGGCGTTGCTGCTTTGGCAACCGTACTTACAGGACAGAGCTGGAGAGAGTGAAGAAAGTAGAAAGGTCTCTCTTCCATTCGTGTATGTAGATCTGTGCCGTAAGCTGTCCTCTCCCATCTCCCACTCTGGAACCTGGTTACCTCTGTTTCCGTAGGGGTTTTCAGAGATTTGTATGTTTTTAAATTTTTTTGGTGAGGAAGATTACCCCTGAGCTAACGTCTCTGCCAGTCTTCCTCTGTTTTGTATGTGGGATGCCTCCACAGCATGGCTGACAAGTGGAGTAGGTCTGCACCCGGGATCTGAACCTGTGAACCCAGGCTGCTGAAGGGGATCACACAGAACTGTAATCACTTGGCCATGGGGCTGGCCCCTGTTTTGTATTTTTGATGGTTATTTGTGTTTAGACTCTATCAATTCTCAATTATATAGCATTTCCAGAGTTGAGTAGGGGCTGGGGAAGAGGGTACAGGAGCTAGTGGCCTATTTAACTTGTCATTTTATAGGGACCAGATACCTCTTCAGGGTTATAGTAAATATAGCCAGAATTACCTATTACCCATACTGAGGGTTTACTAGCCCTCAGCTGGTAAGGGTCCTTTCTTTGTGAGCAGTTAAGTTTAATAACACTCACTCCCAATCCCCAGTTATAAGGAGATGTTTGTTTCTGGCTAAGCTCTATGGATATGATTTGGTAACTGCTTCCCTGAGGGCAAAGCAATCTGAATCCATTTTTAAATGACATCAGAATTGGACAAGGATCACACTCAATTTAACCTTTTCTAGTCTGGGCATTTTGAAGTAGGTTTTCTGTATTCTCTACTATAAATATTATAAACATTCTAATTATTAGCACGTATGTGTAATATTTTTGACAGGGAAATATATGTATATTTTTCAGTATATTAAATGCTTCTATGTCCTTTTCATTATATGTTGTGTAATTGTCCCTTTAAATGAGATGGCTACTGTCTAATTATGAACCATGTTGTGGTGCTTTTAAAAGATTCTTTTAAAAATCCTCAATTTGGTTTTGGTGAATTACATAGGAAAGAGGTGATAGGAAAGCAGTGAAGCAGTCCCTGAGGGGCAGGCAGCTGCCGGCTTGACTTGCCATACTTCCACAGATGTGGTCAACGAGTCCGAATAGATTTAACCTCATGACGCAGCAGGCAGCTTGAGCTTTATGTTCAAATTGGTTCCCCATTCCCCTTAAGTCTTGTGGGGGCAATTTGTGCTTGGGTCATAGCTGAGGAACCCTAAGCTCACGAAACTCCCCTTCTTATAAGAGGACAGCTAGCAAACTAGCCCAAGAGGAAGGCATTGTCTTTGTACTTGTCAGGAAACAAATCTGCCCTCTGGGAGGGAGATGCTATCTCTAGCTCCAGGGGTGTTTGCAAACATCCTTTTGCCGAGACAAAAGTGTCCTAAGATGCCTACCAACCCTATGGAGAATTACCTCCCAGCAGAAAGAAAGCTGATTTGGCTTTTTCTTCTTCTTCTTCTTCTTCTTCTTTTTCTCCCCCAATCCCCCCAGTACATAGCTGTATACTTTAGTTGTGGGTCCTTCTAGTTGTGGCCCGTGGGACGCCGCCTCAGCATGGCCTGATGAGCCATGACATGTCCGTGCCCAGGATCCGAACCAGCGAAACCCTGGGCCGCCGCAGCAGAACGCACGAACTAAACCATTTGGCCATGGGGCCGGCCCCTGATTTGGCTTTTTATGGGAACTATGAGGCATTCTGAAATGTGATTTTTTTTTTCTTCTATTCACCCCACCCCCAAAAACCTCCATCAAAAGTAGAACTGTCAGCTAGTTCTAAAAGTGTAAACAGGTAATAACACTAAACTTCCTAAAATTAATTATACTAAACTTCCTGAAATTAAAAATTAAGATAATTTTTAAAAGTTAAAAGTTAAAAGTAACAATATAAATGAATGAAACGTGTGTACAGTCTTGGACAAATAGATGAGCTTTTTTTGTGATTGTGTTTCATACAAGAATCAGCAAATACTGTATCCAATTTCATAAAGTTTAAAAATATAAGATGGAATTTTTACATTATTGAACTGAGCATCTTTAAAAATGATTTTTAGGAAATTGTTTGTTGTCTGAATAAATTAACCAGTGGTAATGAGCCTTTTCTGATTTTGGTTAGTACGTTGGTGTTTGGCAATCTGAGATTCTTGAGGAAAAGTCGGAATCTAAGGTTGTTTAGAGTAACCTCTCTATTAGTCGCTGATTTACTTTAACCGCACAGTATTCGATACTACAAAGATTCATTAAAAATTTCTAAAGACAACAGTTCCATGTGGTAAAACGGTATGTCTGAAGATTTTTGGTTGTAGTAGATAAAATCTTTCTCTATTTGCTAAAGATTTACATAAAGGTTACCAGAAGGTCTCCAGCCCTAACAGAATAATTTCTTTTCAGAATCTCTAGGGCTGCGTAGTAAGGTTCTGAGGAAAATTGAAGAGCTGAGGACAAAGGTGAAAACCCTTTCTTCAGGAGTTCCTGATGAATTTATATGTCCAATAACTCGGGAACTTATGAAGGAGCCTGTCATCGCATCAGGTATGTGTGATGCTCTTCTGAGTTTCAGGGCTTATTGTGTGCTAAGTGAGTAAATAATGTAGGCAGTTCACAGAAGTTTATTTAAATGTGGAAAGTTTTCAAAACATGTCTTATTTCTCATAAGTAGTTTCTGGTTTCTTTTTCTTTTTAAAAACTCATTAGATTTCAACACTGTGTTTCTTAATGCATAAAATTGGATAGATTAAGTTTGGATAAGATTAGAGACAAAAGGAATACGTTTTACAAGTTTTACGTAAACTTGCGAAGTATTTAGTTACTAGAATGTAAAGTTAAAGTATTGTTTTTTAAGATAGATTGTTGAGATCTTTTATGTTTATTTTGTTGCTATCATAAATTGAAACAACCTTACAGAAAGTAAGAAGTTAAAGATTATAAAGTTGCATCATTCCATATTAATTTCTAATCTTTGTCAATAAACACATACATACTTTACATAGTTGTGATCAGTGACTCCATATTACATTGTCTTTTTTTATTTTGGTGTAAAATTTTATTATGTACATTTCTGAATATTGACGTAGTCTACATAATTTTCAGTTTTAATATCTTTATTCCATTGTGGCTCTATGCTACATTTGTTTGACTCTTCTGGGATTTGGTGTATGTATGTTTGCAAATCTTTATGTTGTAAATAGCATTGCACTGATATCTTAGCACTCCTTTCTTTCTGTTGTTAAACAGTACTTAGGGGCATTTCATGGCATGTGTGCCCCAAAGCAGAATGAACCAATCAGGGAATAGTTTATGGACATTAAGAACAATTTGGATAGTTTTTGTTAGACTTGTTATTAGATCGTTTCCTAGAAAAAAGGTTTAGAGTGCTATCAGCAGTATATTTAAGTGTCCCTGTTTTGTGATCATTGAATTTTATAACTCTATTTTTGTGAGTTTAATAGTTGTTTGAAACTTTATTTCTTACATTGCCAGGGAGGCAATAAATTTGCCATTTAAATATGCTTGGGTGTAAAATATTTATTCATCTTCTTTGATAATTAACTTATATGAGGGGCTTAAATACTGACCTTGCATGCTATGTCAACATGACTAGTGGAACCAATCATATAGTCTTTTTTTGTTAATATCATTTTAATGTAATTGTCTCTGCTTGCTGTGAACTTTTGTAGGCAGGAGCATTTTTCATTCATACAACTGTAAACATCTTTTCTTTTAAAGAATGCTTAGCTCTCACATTTGGCATTTTATATTTGCTTTGAGATATTATTGAACCAATAACATATGTTTGTATTTTTTATAAATTTCCTCTTTTAATTGTAATATAATATATCTTCACTGTGGGAGAATTTTTCAATCAAAACAAAGGTGTATAAAGTGAGTCATCTCATCTTTCTGCTCCCAAAGGCAAGAACTAATTATAATTCTAGATATTTTTCTCTGTGTATTCTTAAATATCACATTTTTAATACCAATAGAATCAAGATATTTTTTACAAAACTGTGTTTATAGACTTTATACTGTTCTGTATCATGCCTTTTTTTTGCTGAAATTGTCTATGGACATTTGCTTTCTAAGTCATAGTCATCAGTAAATGCTGCTTTAATTTTTCTTTAGTTCCCAGGGAGAGAAGAAGGCATCATGTTATCTACTTTATTCTCTCTCTCTTTTTCTTTGGTGAGGAAGATTGGCCCTGAGCTAAAATCTGTTGCCAATCTTCCTCTTTTTGCTTGAGGAAGATTGTCACTGGGCTAACTTTTGTGCCAATCTTCCTCTATTTTGTATGTGGGACACCACTACAGCATGGCTTGATGAGTGGTGTGTACGTCTGTGCCCGGGATCCGAACTCGCAAACTCTGGCTGCCAAAGCGAAGCATGCGAACTTAACCACTATGCCACAGGGCTAGCCCCCTACTTTATATTTTTAGAGACTGCCTAATACTCAGTTGTGTCTGTATCCTATAATTTATTTCATTCCCTGTTGGTTTTTTGCCATTATAAACTACAGCAGTAAACGTCGTATAAATTAATTGTTGCAATCTTAATGTGAATGTTTCTGTAGGATAAATTACTTAAAGGTGAAATTACTGACAGATACTGACAAATTGCCCTTTCAGCAATATAGGGGGTCCGTATTTCCCACATTCTTGCCTGTACTGGATATTAGCAATCTTTTAATCTTTCTCAATCTAAAATGTGAAAAGTAATCTCAGTTTGCATTTCTTTGTATAATATTGAGTTTGAGCACTTTTTAATGTTTTTAGCCATTTATAATTTTCTTATAAGCATTTAATTCAAGTTTAGTTCTTTTATTTTTAGTTTTCATTATTTAATACAAAAGATACTTATGGGAGGCAGCATGGCTTAGTAGTTGAGCAAATGCACTGATGAACCAGTCTGTCTGAGTCTGAATCTGTTTCATTACTTATTAGCTGAGTTACCTTGTGGGAGGCTATATAACCTCTCTGTGCCTTATTTTCTTCATGTACAAAATGGGATGCTAGTATTTACCTCATGGGATTCTTGTAAGGATCAAATGAGTTAATGCATGTTAGGTACTTAAAAGAGCACTTGCACATAATAAGCACTCAGTAAACGTCAGCTGTTTTTATTCCAGCTATGAAATTATCTATGAGTGTAGCAATGGCTGTATATTTTTGGCTTTGGTGTGTTGTATTAGGAAGCTTGTTTGCAGTTGAAAGAAACTGAACTCGAATTAGGTTAAGCAGAAATGGCAGTTAATTTATTAAAAGTTATTGTAGGCACTGGCCCAGTGGTGCAGCAGTTAAGTTCACACGCTCCACATTTGCAGCCCAGGCTTTGCTGGTTTGGATCTTGGGCATGGACCTATGCACAGCTTATCAATCCATGCTGTGGCAGGCGTCCCACATATAAAATAGAGGAAGGCGGGCATGGATGTTAGGTCAGGTTTTTAAAATGTATATACCTGTGCATCCACCATCACAATCAAGATAATATTATCACAGCCCAGAAAGTTCTCTCATGCCCTTTACAATCAGTCCTCCTCCACCCCTGGCCTTACATAACCACTGATCTGCTTTTTGGCACTGTAGATTATACTTGCCTTTTCTAGAATTTGATATAAATGGAATAATTCAGGATATACTCTTGTGTCTGGCTTCTTTGGCTCAGCAGAATGCTTTGGATTCATTTATCTTGTTCATTTATCTTATATCAGTAATTCATTCCTTCAGATTGCTGAGTAGGGTTCCATACCATAACTTGTTTATCTATTAACCTGTTAGCAAACTTTTAGGTCTTTTCCACTTTTTGGCTATTATGAATGACGCTTTTATAACATTCATGTACATGTCTTTGTCTGGACATGTTTCATTTCTCTTGGCTAAATATTCAGGAGTAGAATTACTGTGTTGTATAGTAAGTGAATGTTTAACTTTAAAGGGACTGCCAAACTGTTACTCAGAGTGGTTGTACCATTTAAGTTCCCAACTGAAAATTCCAGTTTCTCCAAGTTCTTCCCAACACTTGGTATTGTTAGTCTTTTAATTTTTGCCACCCTAGTGAGTGTGAAGTGGTATCTCATTGTACTTTTAATGTGCCTTTTCTGATGACTAGTGACGTTGAGCATCTTTTCATGTGCTTATTTTCCATTCATATATCTTCTTTTGTAAAGTGTCCCTTCAGATATTACCCCGGGCTGCCAAAGTGGAACATTCGCACTTAACCACTGTGCCACTAGGCAGGCCCCTAGGTCTATGATTTATTTCACATGTGAGATAAGAGTGAACATTTCTTCTTTTCCTAAATGGATATCCAATTGTTCCAGCAGCATTTATTGAGAAATCTTTTCCCATTGAATTATCTTGGCACTTTTGTTGAAAATCAACTGAGTCTGTATCTCTATATCACTGGTGCATTTCTAGACTTTCTGTGATGTTCTCTTGATCTTTATGTTTGTCCTTGTACTAGTTACCTCAGTGCCTTGATTACTGTAGCTTTACAGTAAGTCCTGAAGTCAGGTAGTGTAAATCATCTTAGTTCTTTTTCAAAACTGTTTTAGCTATTCTTGGTCCTTAGCAAGTTTCCATATAGATTTTAGAATCACTTTCTCAGTTTCTACAGAAAAGTGTGCCAGGGTTTTTTTGTGTATATATGGTAAAAAAAAAAAAAAAAAAGTAAAATTTACGTTTTAACCATTTTTAAGTGTACAGTAGTGTTAACTGTATGCACATTGTTGTGCAACAGCTCTCTAGAACTTGTTCATCTTGTAAAACTGAAATTCTACATCCGTTGAACAACTCCCCATTTCCTCCTATCTCCTGTGTGTGGTAACCACAGTCTACTTTGTTTCCATGAGTCTGACAATTTTAGATACCTCATACAAGTGGAATCATACAGTAATTGTCTTTTTGTGACTGGCTTATTTCACTCAGCATAATGTCCTCAAAGTTCATCCAGGTTGTTGCAAATGGCAGGATTTCCTTCTTTTTTAAGGCTGTATAATATTCCATTGTATGTATATACCACATTTTGTTTATCCATTCTTCTGTTGATGGACACTTGGGTTGCTTCCACCTCTTGGCTACTGTGAATAATGCTGCAATGAACATGGGTGTACAGATATCTCTTTGAGATCCTGTTTTCAATTCTTTTGGATTTATACCCAGAAGTGGAATTGCTGGATTACATGGTAATTCTATTTTTAATTTTTTGAGGAACTTCCATACTGTTTTCCATTGTGGCTGCACCATTTTACATTCCCGCCAACAGTGCCATTGTGTAGTCTTGGCACCCTTGCTGAAGATCATTTGACCACATTTGTGAGGGTTTATTTCTGGGCTCTCTCTTCCATTCCATTGGTGTATATGTTTGTCTTTGTGCCAGTACCACACTATTTTGGTTACTGTAGCTTTGCAATATGTTTTGAAATCAGCAAGTGTGAAGCCTCAGGCTTTGTTCTTTCTTAGAATTGTTTTGGCTTTTTAAGGTCCTTTGAGATTCTATATGAATTTTAATATGGATTTTTCTATTTCTGGAAAAAAATG